TTATAAACAAACAAAAAAAAAATCCCAAACCCTTCAATATTTTTTTGTTCTGAAAAATGGTGAGTAATCCCTATATTATGCAAATAGCAATGTACTTTAGCTGATACTCAAACTCTACTATAAATTGAGCTCATACATTCTCTTAGGTAGAAAAAATATATACATATTGTCTCATTCCCTAAACACTGTCTTCTTAACAGTGATAAAGCCATTCTAGTTATTCATCCAAGAGATAAAGGTGACTGTCATGCTGATATTACAAAGTCCTTTCAATGCCAGGTTCCCCAAGGAATCTGAAAAAATGAAATGCAATAATTTAAAATGTAATTAAATGAAATATGCCTCATCTACAGCAACAAAATAGTATTCATGAAGATCATTTAGGAGAATACATGACTCATCCAATTCTACCAACATAGGCATGTATGCCTAGACCTCAGTATTCACTGGATATCTTTAAAATTACAACAGCGCAGCATTTGAGAGAGCTGCCTATTCATAGGCATTGAGCAGGACTCTGGTATTAGAGCCATACACTGATTTTTTTCTGCTCTAGCCCAAGAGAAATCAAATGGAGGCTGTTGAACTCTATGAGTCAGACTATGAACTCTTTGAAGAAAGGAGCATAGTTGGGTTCTTACAGATCTCAGCAAAACCAGCAGTTACTGTAAAACAGATAATAAATAATACATCTATCCAAAGAGAGGTAAGTCTCTCCCAGTCTCTTTCTGAGCTGGAATGAAAAACAAGTATCACCAAACTGTGTGAGTAAATAAAGTTTCCGAGACTTCTCACAGATGTACTGCATGGCCTCTCACCCTTGGAAGCCAGCAGTGTGGAGGACTTTCAAGCTGGGCACTGGCAGGCTGCATGTGCTAGAGATTGCAGCTCCTGCCAGCTCTGAGAGGGGCTGCTGCCAAGAGCCCCAGCAGCACAGCTGGGGGATGCCAGAGGGTTGCTTGTGTTGCCTACAGCCCTTGATCGAACCAAGTGATCTCTGCTGCACATTTTCATTTTGATGAATGCATGTTCCCTGAGAGAAGCCATTTCATTAGAAAAATCCTGACCCACATGAATGAATAACTTCAACAAGGGTCATTTGCATTCTTCATATGTATAAACAGAGTTAAATGCATGTAGTTGCACATTTCCTTGTAGTCTTACTCCGGTTATCAACTACTGCAACTGATCAGCCTGGAATGGCATCAGTAACCAGAGACCTTCAGACATCCTAAAAATACCTTTTCTTCTTTAATTATCTAGCTTCCTATTTTCAAGTAATGTTTTTAATGATCTGTTTTCAAATAAAGAAGAAAAAGGTCTTTACAGTCAACATACATTCTACATTAAGAAGTCCTACACTTTGGAGTAGATGTGAAAAGAAATTGCAAGCTTCATTGAATTGCAGTAGTAAAGAAATTTTTTGGTCTTATTTGCAAAACAGAAAATCCTTACCCTCCACACTTGTGCTTCTTCTAGTGATAAATAGTGACCAAGTGAAGAAGAAAATATGAAAAATCATCATACTAATACTGCCATCTAAATTTCAGATTCCCTTAATGTTCATGTAAATATATCATAAAATCATCTTAAAATCTGTTTTTTTTCCTTGAGTCACACTGAAATACCTGGTGAGCAGCCTACCCAGGCATACAAGAGAATCACTGACATGAAGCACTGTGTGCAATACTGAAACCTGCATTCAAATACAGAGACTTGCTACTGTTTTTCACTTTAGCTGGTTTGTGCAGCAGCTCAGACAGTTTGTGTCAACTCTCCTAATTAAATTGAAAGCTAAATAGTAATGCAGCCCTTGTTATATGCTATTGTTAGTGGAATTCCTGCTGTGTATCTCACTCAAGAACCCAACACATGTCAATCAAAGTTCAAGCTCCCGATTCTACCCTTGGTTGTTAATTAACTGTCAGAATGCTTCAATCCAGTTTATTACTAATATCTGAGGAATGTGCTGTGCCTTCCACTTGCACAGATACTCCTTATCCCATGTGAGCGCACAAACCAAGATAAGAAGCAGAAATGTAATTTTCAGCACCACGTACGGAAAGGGAGGGTTTTCCCCAGTTACTTAAGTGTTATTTGAATAGGATGTGTTAAAAATAGAACCAAAGCATTGACTCCAAATGCCATGAGCTCCTCAACACTGGGCAAATGTAAGCAAAGGAATTCAATGCATCATTAAGGATGACACTATAAAGCATTAAGGATTATACTATAAAGCACTAGCAGCCACTAAAACATTCTTTAGAAGCACTCCTGCTCCTCTTTGAGAAGGTTCATGACTAAATCCCAGATTAGGCTTCAATATGGATTTTTCAAGCAGCAGAAATCATTTTCTCAGAGTTATCAACATGTGTACTGTTCTACATCAGATTTCACATGTAGTAAAAAAGTTCCTCAAAAATGTTTTTGTGAAGAGCATTAGATCACATCCATTTCTCTCCTCAGAATCACATGAACCTGCAATCAGTGCAGTGTGAGCTTTCTTGAATAAAGATGAGACAGTATTCAGCGACCAAGCACCTGCAGAGACCACAAACAATTCCTCCATGAACAGAACCAGCAATATGGAGCAAACAGCTTGAGGAGGATCATAGAATCATTTGGGTTGGAAAAGACCTTTAAGATCATTTAGTCCAGCTGTAAAGCTGAATGATCTATTGTAGGTTTTGCTGTGCTTTAGAGAAGTGGACAGAAAAGAGTTCAGCTACTTCTCTGTCCATCTTAAGACAGCAACTTGCTACCATTAGAGAGAGAGATTTCAGAGGACAAAACGCGGACATTCCATCCAGTAAAAGATGGAATCCAGGTGGGTGCAGAGCCAGATGCCAGTTTTCATCCCAAGCAAAGAGTAAATGTACACAAATACAAGGAAAGAACAGCTGCACATCTGCAGTGCAATAATCTCTATTTGTGAGGGCACAGAGGGGAAAGCTTTTCTCCTCGTGGCTTCAGAGGGGAAAAGTATAAACAGGGTGAAAGCTCCCAGAGCTGAAGATTTGACCTTGAATTTTTACAGGTGAGAGGACAGCATTCTGAAATTTGTCTACATTATCAGTGGAGGATAATAGGTAAGCATGGGTGGTTCTCCTAAAATAGTCTTTGCTCAAAATCATGAAAAAGGACAGCTTTTATCCAAGTTTAAAATAAAGGGCCATTATCTTTGCCAGGGTTATTATCTTTACACTGTCGATCAAGCTGGCTGCCGAGCAATGGACTGAGCAAACGTGCACACAGGCACTTACGGCAACGTTACAGAATTACTAAAACAACCAAACCACTATCATCAATGCGTTGAAATTTTAAAAAATGCCTTTAAAAGATTGCCTTGGGCTGTAGTCTCATTTGCATCTCACTTCGGGAAGCCTGTAGAGTTTGCAGTGACAGCCCTGACACGCACAATTCCTTCCGAAAAACATGAATGAAAGACCCGTATGGCGGGGCGGGGCCCAGCGCGCTCTGTTCGCGGCAGTATCACGGGATGGACACCGGGAATGCCAATGGCCTGACCGCAGCACAGGGGCTGTGGCTCCGGCGGCCACACTGCGTCCATTCATAAACGCAGAACTGCTGA